GACTGGATTTGGGGGAGAGGACCGATTCTCAAAGTGCAATGCGCCGCTTGTAAGTAAAAATGGAGCACCACGGTTTACATTCCAGGTAACTACTTCTGAGTAAGGGCAGGTAGCAATTCGCGGGGACTGACCAGCGTAACCTGCTGTCCCAATAGTTATCGATTTTCTCGAGCGGATGCCATCAGTATCATCTGCTTTCGTCCCTGTCGCGAACCACGGGGATATAAGGACAATGGGTGATTCGCTACCTTTAGATGATACCGAACGACCTAGCCATTTATCAGTAGAAAACAAAAAGCATTTACAAAACAAAAAACAAGTTTCGAGTTACATACAGACTCAAACCACGTCTGAGGTCGGCGCTAAGGCGTGTCATGAAGGTAAATCTGGGCCAGAAAGTAGTGGAACTGTCGGTCTAAACACTGTCTACCTACTGATTACGGTATGAATTGTTTGTACTTGTTTACTGATTATAAACACGTACCTATACGTGCAACTGACACCATCAGGCATACGACCGTTCAATGTAGAAATCCATGCATTCAGCTGCGAAAAATGAAGATGAGATCTGATAGCGTTCTTCAGAAACAACGGCGCAAGACCCTAAAAAATGTGGGTTGAAGCTGGCCAAATTAGAATTCCATCTGAAACAAGAAAAAAAGAACAAAGTAGAGGAAAGGAAAAAAGAAAACGGATATAGAGTAAGGTAAATACCGTCTGTTGTGAATTCCATTCACGACGAATCGTCCACAACTCAATCGGAACCGCACGTGAACATTTCTCGCCGCATGATGAATGTACAATGATTGTCTGAAAAAGTATAATTGTGTTCGTGAAAAACAAAAATAACTAATTAAACAACAAACAAAAAAGCGGCAGAACTATTTCCTTTTTTCTTCACGAATTTCTCCCAAGTTTGGTCCTGTTATTTCGAATAGATTTTCCAAATTTTCATTCTACTCGGCCCTTTTAATTCAAAAGACGATGAAAATATAGCCGGGAGCCACCCAGTCTACGCCGGTCTTTCAGGTCTGGAGTGTTGCTTACGGAGAATGCTTAGTAGCCATGGGGATGTAGTTTTTTGCCAAAACCTGAGTGGAAAACAGCACCGGGTGGATGAAGTCATTTAGAGGTGTAAGGGGTAGCGCCTCTGGACACAATCCTGCAGAGAAAGTACTGACATGAGAGGGTTGCGAACAGTACAGTTGAACATAGTAACCCCCCTCCTCGTCCTCTCCCATACCGAATACATTCCACCCCCCTCCCTCCACATAAGTAGCTTTTACAGGCATGCTCGGATTCGACCTTTTCCGAGCGCTCTCACGAATTCAAGAGAAAAATCAAAGTCGTCAATGATCCCACCTCAATGTGTACGACATTCGGCTGAACCTTTTCGATTGGTCGTGGTTTGATTTCGCCGCCTTCCGCTGATGATCCTCCGACGGCAGTACGTGCAGCTGCGATGAGCTGCACGATTTCGTACGTCAATTCGTCGCTCATACTCGTTGGTTGTTTATCACTGGAGTGAGAGAGAGAGCACACAGAAAGCGTACACGCAATACCCGTAATATAAGCACCGGACACTTCGATGTGCCCCGCTAAATCGTCATCGACGTACGTCTCAGTTTTAACGATACGGTAGGCATCTACCTTTTCTGAAAATACGTACTATAACTACATATATCCATCACGTAGATGAACACGACACGGAAGTACGCAATCGGCACAACAAGCAGAAATGACAACTTGTTTTCGAGTTGGTTGGACAAAACTACTAGTAATTCTCGAGCAAATAGCATAGACAAGACGGTGGTCTAGCACGAAATGGCAAAACTGTGGCATGATTAAGCAAATATGAAAGAGATGAATCAAATAGTGGAATGAGGTCACTGGAGTAGTGAACCACAGGAAATTAAAGGCAAGAGACGATTTCAGTACTATTAGCACAATTTTACCCATTGCCCTCGAACCAAAACACAGACCATTTATGGGAAACAGGTTTGTCACTGGAACAGTACTTTTGATACTGATTTTTGATTAGGAACACATCGACTTTCACACAATTCGATGTTAACATTAGAAACGCATTTAAATAATACCCTATAGGAGCCCGAAAACAAATTGATCATATGGTGTACTCCGAACCTCACTGAAATTCGAAGACTTAAAATGTTCAGAGCAAGTAAGCAGTTGAACATGAGAACTCAGAAATTTAATCACTATGTAGTCCAAAAATAGAAATCCGACCAAATAATTAAGTTTGTAAGGCCTTCTTAGAGTTAATCAACCCGCTTCTGGGATGCGCCCTTTATTTGGCTTCCATTTAGAACCTACTGGCGTTTGAATGCCTATCCGGATTACAATGAATTACGGTGGCCAGCCAATGGTGAACGAGTCAATGCTTTTACCTCCCAGACGAGTTTGGTGCCAATTAATCGACCCCAGAGAAATGGCAGGCTTGGTTGGCCTGGGCGGATATCGATCTGGGGTTTGAGCCCGGGTCGATATCCGCCCAAATATTCAAACATTAATTTAATATATAAATTTGATGCTTCTTCACAAAAATATGTGATCAGCCATCGGACCAACCTAAGGTATACAAAATATTTAAAGAACGTCCGTTAGGAAAATTGATGGTGGAAGACGATTTATCACCTTTATCATCTCCATCTGAAGAAAAATGAACTGAAGAGGTTAACTTTTGAACCCATAAATTACCCTCCCCAATTTTCCATAAGGAAACTGGTTTCGAACGTGGAAATTGGAATATAGCACCTCCTTATGCTCAGAAAAAAGGCTATTTATAATTTTCTTGACAGCCACTTTATGTCACACATTAAACTTTAGCACTAGCGTTTGATTTATGCCCATTAACCGACGATTCCTTCAATTTCTATTCCTCAGCAACGTCCACGTCAATTTTCCATAGCGAATATTAGTCTAGTAAGTAGTAGCATTGACATAGCACGTACAGCATTTGCAACTATTGAGCTAGGCGAGCGTCCCATACTTGCAAGGACCCATGGACGGTTGTCTTTGGAAACAGAGCAGTTGTGGTAGTATTGATACTGAGTAAAAGCCGGATATGGGCAGATTTCGAAAAATTGAATAGGAAACTTTTTAATTTTTCCATACTACAGTAATAATTCTGCAGAGTCGTGCGGGGAGAAAGGGAGGTCGGTTGGTGCCAAGTGGCACTACCATGCGCATAGTCTAGGATCGGAACACTGGTCAATACCCGCTCAGGTCGCCAAGCATCCCATATCTCTGGGGCTAGGAAATTGGTACCAGACTCGTCTGGGAGGATAAAAGGACTGATTTGTACATCGGCTGGCCACCTCAAGCTATTGTATGGGCCGTATACGCATTCAGACCAAACTACGATTGTGAAGCAAGGCCAATGCTAGGGCGCATCCCGGAACGAAACTGATCAACGTCAGAAAACTTTGCTTTTTCATAATACTTGGCAATTGCATGGTGTTATAGGGATAACGAAGTGCTACCACTTAAAAACAGGTCATGAACCAGAAGCAGTTCCTGGAACTTCCTGTCTCGTTTGCCTTTTTTGACGGCATAGCTTCTGAATTTACTAGAATTTACTAGGAACACTCGTTCAAAACAAAGAACTCCCGCGACGAAAATGAGTTTTTGCATGTTCGAGTAAGTGAATAAGTGAAATGAAGTTGAAGAATGAATGAACGTGAGGTGTAGATTTACGTAGCCACACACTAGAATCTCCCTATGCGCACGAGTTGCACTTTATGGAGGCTATCACTAGGCGGTACGAGATTTCAAAGTTCAACCAAACGCCTGACATCGTTTCTACGTAAACATGCTACTTTCCAGGGGCATTCCAATTATAAAAGCATTAATTGAATGCTTCTAAGAAGAATTTTACAAGCACAGTAGTACTTGTTAGAAAGTTCTGAAGGAGAGAGAAGTAAAATTACGGCGAACGTTGCAGTGAACAGAACGGAAACCCCTTCTAGGAGTAGGCTCGAATCTCTTGAAGGTGGATCGACTTCTCCATCTTTATGAGGGTAGCTAACTGGTAGCGGGGGTTGGATATGAAGTAAAAGCACCCAATTGGGCTGCAGCATACTACTTTCGTGTCGAGTCGATAGATACTAGTTAACGGTATTGAAATGGAGTGGACGGGCTGGTATTTTGAAAAACATCCGAACACTGAACATTTTTCCCGCTAGGGAAGGGCACATTTCACTTTTTACTAGGGCAGAGGGGGATGGGAGGGGGTGGAAAAAAGCGGGCATTCACGGTCAACAAATGTGACAAGAATAACAGCAAAGACTTTAGCGTAACTATGATTTAATAGTGCTACAGTATTCCTTGGAGTTCTATGACTTCCTTCTCGGGGAGCTCACATTCCCCCAAGCAGACAAAAACAGCTCAAGATGCACTGACTTGTTTACACACATGCATTTGAGGTCGGTCAACGAAAACAGGAATATTTACGAAAACGCGTCTACCCAAAAGGAACAGAGAACCAGAGTTCTCTATGGTCCCTTAGAGTTATCGATAAACGGATTCGGTACGCGCCATGCATTCGCCTCACCCTGGGATATTCTGTCAATATGTCTGCTTACAAGTCATTGGCAAAGATGAAAGGAACTTTCTCGACTGCGGAGTTCACTGCTTCTTTATGGAAATGCTCTCGGAACTTGGCTGACGTTGGGCATCGATCCACCGGGCAATGCAATTGAGATGCGGCGCCTCTAACTGCTATACTAAAACACCTTAAGAGGCAGATCAGATCATATACGAGGATCGTTCACCCCACAGGGACAAAATCACTACCGTATGCTGTATTCTAACCCTTTACTGTCGAACAGGGAGGGACTAAAAATCGCTTGTTCTTCGAGTTGTTTTCGTGTTCGCATTACGACGCTATTGACCAGGAAATCGTCTGGCTTTGAAGGCTACGGTAACTTTTATAGTAAATTTCTGGAAGCTATTGAAAACGTGAAAAGTAACCTATCCTCTAAAAAGGTGTCTTCCATGACGGTAATGGTTTCATCCCCGGGGAGACAATTTTAAGCAAAGTTTCCGAGCAAACCTTGAAGGGAGATCGATTCGCCTAGGGCGAGATTCTGTGAAAACAACACGGGGTACGTTCTTATAAAAGCGTCTGGGGAAGGGATATAGGTATTAATAGAAATGAAGTGCACCCATACTTTTCTAAGGTAAGGTTCCTAAGGTAATAAGTTACTGGATTGATGTCTGAATAAGAGCCCTACTGAAAAGCGCCTGCATAGGGGGCACCCATGGGGAGTACGAAGCTGATTGATAGACCATCTTGAGTTCGTTTTCAGGAAGATTGAACGATGTTTTCGAAGGGAATGATTCCATAGGAGTGATTAATATTAAACTTTTCTATAAACTAAACTTTGATGCCGTTGACTTTCGATATTATTTGCAGTATGGTTCCATTTGAACTAATTATAAATTAAGTAGACATCCCCACAACAACAGGACGTAGACAGACAGCAGAACGATCGTTCAACGAGCAACAAACACAAATGTGTGTGTGTGTTTTGATAACTGGAAAGTGGGATGGAGGAGAGAGAATAACAGATTGAGGTGTGAGTAAGCGCGTGTATGCGGGTGTAGGCATGAGAACAGAGTCAAACGGACGAGGAGACTGAGACTGAAAAGGAACTCCGATAGATAGACCTCCACAACGATGAGGACGCTAAATATGTGTGTGTGTCCGGGTATGCTGAAGTGAATTATTCAGGCAAAATGAAGTCATCACTTAAGTATCATGACGTCATCCAGGACCGACAAGATCACCCCCAAACCCACGAAGAGCCGTAGGCGACCGGGGAAATCACAAACGGGTTTACGAGTCTGGACCGTCTAACGGAGCGACTGGGTTGCGGCATGGGTAGTGAATTACTGAGTGAAAAATTACTCATTATCTTCACAGTAATCTGTAACGTAACAAAGACCCGTTTGGACAGCAGGGATGGGGATGGTCGGCAGCGCGGGTCACCATTCCATCCTTTTCACCTATTTTTCCGATGCTCCCGAATCTGACTCTGTACTTCCGGCAAATCCCTTTGATCCATGCGTCGAAAGGCATGGAGACCGTAATCCTGCACCGTATGATAATTGCGGGTTTATACTAGAGTACAGCGTTCCTTTTGCTTTCTATTTAATGCCAAAACGTACTCTGGCTACCCATAATAAACTTTTCCTCACGGGACCGGCAAACAGGTTTCAGAAATGGTCAGGGACCAAGTGGTATCGTCAAAAACTCAAACTTCATGGAAAATAATTGTCGGCGCTCTACCACTTGAAAGTAATACCTGATTACTTTGACACTGAAACGATCTTATGATGCATTATCTTTGCGGCTGCCTTACAGAAGTTTCAAACCTTTCTCCTTCGCTGCCCACTTTGACCCTACCCTATCTTACGTATCAAGTATCCTAAGTATCGACCACAACATCAAAATGATCCAGAGCATCTGTTGAACA